ACAAAAAAAAAATTACCGAATAAACTATAGTCAAACAATAAGCAGGTAATAAAAAATGTTCACCATATCTCAAAAGTAGGATAACCTGCGATGCCCATAGTCATAATTCATTAATTTTTTTCTGTATCTGGCAACATATAAAGATAGGAACAGAATATTAACATTCCACTCAACCAATATAATACAAGTTTGTAACATTAAACTAAATTGGCCAATTACTATAAATATTGAAATATTAAAACATTACAATGATTGCATTATAATGTTATATATATACGACCGCCCGTTAATTTCACTATTAATAATCTTTTGATTTTTTATCCAGATTTCAGGCGTTCGTATTACTATAAATAGTAAAAGTAGTCAACAGTATATACATTCATCGTTAAAATTAAAATATAGCTATAGGTACATAAAACCGGCAACAGCCAAGAGATCATATAACTATAATTCATCATAAATCACGACAAAGATATCGCACGCTCGTTCTCGTCTTCGAATTAGGCGATCGTCGCGGTGTGCACAATAATGTTGTACTAGCAATAATATGGAGATTTGTCTCTCCCTGCAACCGTTGTTCGACAATTTATTTTTTAAATTTTGTATAGACTCGTCACAGTTAGAACGGGTAGAGGTATATAACACACGCACATTATCATACGACCCGGTATGTAAAGAAAATAATATCACGTCGGTGGGTCGGCACAACCTGACTTGTACACCTTATGGGTACATTTTAATATACAAGTATAATACGACGGACTCTATATCTGTGGTATTGCTTTTTTCGTCGTAATATATATATATGTAGTACACCTTACCTGACGGGCTCGCGCGCGCGCGCGCACACACAATTTTGGGAACCCGCGCACCGGAATGTCGGGGCCCCGGTGTCGGCGGCGGCGGCGGCGGCGGTAATAAGAAGCGATACGATCAGAGGAGCCGCCTCTGCTGTTTAGTCACACCTGCCATGCGCGGGACCTTTGATGTGGCCGCCGACATGAGACGGCGCGCCCCGCGGCTATTACCCACCGCCGAGGCACGCCGCGTAACTTACCGTAGCGCCGTAACGCGCTGCTCGGCTGGGCTCGGCTCGGTTCGGCCGCCGTCGGCCCGGCAACTATAATATTATTATAATAGTAATATGCCTACTAATGTTGTGTGCGCGACGATATTACCTGTGTATTAGATTGTTACGAGACATACCGCGGTATCGCAGTCGGCATAGAGGCATAGAAGCGACGACGGGCAGTTTGGATAATATCACTAATATTATATTTTGTGTGGATATTGTACACGTACATAACATAATATTATAGTCATATAAAGATATTTTGTACCGCGTGCCGGGCGATCGCTATTTTGGGCGATTATTAACAGTTTGCATTATTATATCGATAACGATTTTCTACAGTGACGTATGATAGGTAAATACTGTGTGGACTACAAGTCATTACGGGTTTAATAGTGCTCTGTATTATAACTAATATGTTTTTACCAGTTTAATATTCTAAATACAATATAATATTGTCAGCATCTTTAGAACAGTATATTATTAACACAAGACATACTCGCGGTGGCAGTTAGTTGTTTGATTGTTGGAACAATTATAAATAACCGTGCCGTTTATCTCGACAGATTTTCGGTACATTCGACCAAAAAAAAAAAAAAAATTTTAAACAAACTTATACTAATAATAATAACAATATTAATAATGAATCTCTCTGTTAAACGGAGAAAAATCGCCGAGCCCGGCGACGACGACGACGACGACGACGATAATAATCCGGAATTTTCGACCGCACCATTTCTGCTGCCTACGCTCTCGAGCGAAGAACCGTCATTAGTCACCAGTCTACTTGAAAGGGCCTCTGTTGTTTGCCATTTTCCATTAATTGCCGCCGTCATGTACGAGATAGATAGCCGCGCTTTCCGCGTCGGAATTATACATTTTAAATAATTATAAATGTGTGTTACAAGACAATAATAATATAATCCTTACGTCTGAACGATGTCGAATACAAAAAAAAAAAATCGTTAAGCCGCCCGAAAACAGAAATATTCTCAGGGTACGTACAATACGTTTAATATTATACACGTCACCGATGAGGACCGAAAAATTCCACGGATCAAAATAAGTGTGAAGTGACCGCCGCCTCCATAGAGTGATTACCGGACCGTGGCATTGGTCGGCATTACGCAGGGTAGTTGTTGTGTATAGTGTTGTTTAGTAGTAATAATCGTGTAAAAACGCGGACACAAAGGAACAAGGAAAAATAAAATACAAATCTTTTGCCACCCACTACTAATGCCGCCGCCGAGAGACGTGAGAGACGTCCAATTAATGGTGTGCGAGTGGTGTGTGTGGGGGGAAACGTATTTTTTTTTTACTCGCTTATCAAATGCACATTTTACAATAATTTATACTACCTACAAATATTATACATAATATACGTTATACGCTGTACACACGTGAAAGTGCATTTTTTTTTCTCGAACATAAACTACGCACCGCGCCGTCGGCCTTCACATATTATATTCGAAAATCTTTGGCTATTAAATCAGAGAGAGAGAGAGAGAGAGAGAGAGAGAGAGAGAGACGTTTCGCTTGTCGTTTGCTCGTTAGTTAAATTATGAATTCCTACTATACGTCCGTTCGTATAAATTCACAGATTACAAATTAGCTGTGGAATTCGGTCGGTCGGTAGGTCGCTTCTTCCAGGGCAATAAAACAGCCATGCGCCGGTCGCCGTTTTTTTTTATTATTATTATTTTTCCTATTCCTACTTTTACCGCTTTTTAATTATTTATTGCGTATTTTTATGAACGCCAAACACGAGCACGTCCCCAGAACTTGGTTCGAAAAACGTCAAAATCGTGGTTAAGTGGTCTGACCTGCTGTAGACTCGTATTTATTGTGGGTGGGGGGAGGGGCTGAAGCAGAGCCAGGTTCCTCATAGAAGTCTTAAAAATACGTTTTTTGAATATAAAATATGATATATATTATCGTATTATTAAATGATATATTTAAAGTGCATTATATAACACATCATTTATTGTCATCCACGATACCCGCAGCTTGCTGAAGATTTCTATTTTTGGGAAACGACCGAAAAGACAATTCTTATCACCCTATATAATATAGAGAATCTTCGAACAACTCTCCGCATTAATATAATAACAGTTATTTCTCGTATCTCTCTACCTACCTACGTCTCTGCAGTTACACATAATATACTATTTAACACTGTTCTTGCCGCCAAACTCGTAAATAGCGTCTATAACTCTGGGAGCGTCGGAGGTGTGTTATATTGTAGTGCACCCAAATATTGTGTAGCTTATATATATTATTATATTGAAATATCGAATTCCGTACGAGCGTTTGCGAAAAACGACGACACAATACTAATAACGTCGTCGGGAGGCATTTTGTTAAATACACTAAAATATTGTACAGTTGTAATATACAATAATAACAATAATACAATAATAATTAATAGCGACGTCGCCTGCAGTAAAACATTAAAACGGCGTGCGTGTCATTATACGCTGCAAGGACGAAATGTGATTTATTCGTCCGAACGGCGGATTAGTCGCGGTGCTGTTTTTTATCGGAGTTGACATTTTTAACGGGTTTTCTCGCGAGCGCGTTTGACAAAACGAACCCTTCTCCGCTTTTTTACGGCCGCGGCGATAAGTCTTTTCTGCGCGGGCGACCGTATAGCGTATACCGTATATTAATATTATGTTCGTCGTATATATATAATATTGTATATGTATGCGATTTTTTCAAATATTTTTCGCCATGTTCTCGCGCCGCTGTCCCGTATTATATTATTTGATTTACGTCGTTTCACCATCGACAACATCGCTCGGCTTTTTATTATTAGACCACTACAAGGCGGTTGGCCGTCGTTATACGTCTCGTGCATAATATATATAATATACCATATACATTTTTTACTTATTCGCGCCGCCGTCTTAAATACGTCCGTCACTCGTTATATTATTATCAGGCGTGTCAGCGGCGCGATTAATCGAAAACGTTTGCGCCCGGAATCGCGCGTTTCCGACCGAATCAAGCGCGGCCGGCCGCGGGTCAATCGATTGTGCACACCCGGTTTGTACGTAAACGATACATATAACACGCATGTATATATATATAATGTATATATTTGTGTGTGTCTGTTATGTATATATACTCCGATTGCATACGCACATAATATATATATATATATATATACATGCAAGTATCTAACCTAATTATGTATATAAATGTATACGAACGCCGTGTCGTATCGGCGAATCGCGACCGTCCGCACTGCAACTATTTAATATGATGCTACTGTGTGTATTGCGGCGGTTAACAATAATAATCACCGAACGTCCGAATTCCGTTTCGTCGCGGTCTCGGATCATCGATAATCCGGAGCTCGTGTTCAATATCCGGGCTATGACCGAATTGCGGACGGAAAACCCTGCAAGTCGAGAGCGTGTCAATGAGATGGGCAAAACCACAATTAAGCGCATTTCTCACGGACATTGTGGAGGCGGTGTAAACATACTACCTATGTACTACTACAGTTGTATAGTGCCTATAGTAGTATAGTAGGCTTTATTAATTGAATCGACTGATCGGGATAGTAATTCGACGAGTGTCTTCAAAGATCTTTCTGAACGGTTTCGAGTAATAATAAAAATAAAAAAACGACCAAATTCCCTCATATTTTGTTTGAATCCGCTGTTTAGTTTGATGTTTGTGCCGAACGCTCGAATAAATTAGGGTATATCTCCTTTAAACCACCGATTATCAACCACGGTGACATCCTGATAAATACTTCTCCGACTAATATAATTGTGTCTTGACATGTAAAAGTCTGGAGTAATGTCTGTGCGTTTTCTAGAACTTATTTTCGTTGGTACCGAGACCTGCCACATCAAACCACTTGCGCATTTTACGACTCGTTTTTTTAAAACAATGTTTTCTTTTTTGTTCACAGATACCAGTTCCAGTCATCTGAACCTGTTCAACTCGCGGTCCCAGCCCAAGAAGAAGCGCAAGTCCCGCACCGCATTCACCAACCACCAGATTTTCGAACTGGAGAAGCGATTCCTCTACCAGAAGTACCTGTCGCCGGCCGACAGGGACGAGATCGCGTCCAGCCTGGGCCTGACCAACGCACAGGTCATCACGTGGTTCCAGAACCGCCGGGCCAAGATGAAGCGCGACTACGAGGAGCAGAAGAAGGACCGGGAGACGTTGGCCGCGCTCAGCGAGCACAAGATATTCTTGGAGACGGCCCAGAACATGGGAATACTCAAGAAGAAACCACAACCGGCTTTGGCGGTGGCGGCCGCGTGTGGTTCGCCCACCGATCACCTGTTGCAGCAACAGCAACAGCCGGTTAAGTACGACGAATGAGCTGCTCGTTGGTTATCGCGAGTGTGTATTACACATTAAAGTATTAAATGTAATATTCTCTATTAAATGCGTCGTCGTCGTCGTCGGTAAAATCTGTATAGCAGTCGAGTCTTCAACAGCTGCCCCATATACAGCACACGATCTATGTTTAGTCTGTAATAATTTTATAATTATTATAAATAGTTAATAAAAAAAAAAATGAATAACGTTCCTCGTAGGTTTTCTTACTTTTCTGATAAAAAAAATTCAATCTTAATAATATAAGCCTCCCCGAAGACGTATAGTTATCGAAAAGACGATACCTTCTATCACCTGCGCCCATCGCCCGTGGCCGGGTAGACAATGATATTGAGATCTCATTTTCTTTTTTTTTGCATAATAATATCGTAGTAAGTAGACCTAACCTAACGATATCGGCTTGTGAAAATGTAATGTTCCACGTACCAACATGTAGTGCTTACTGCTAAGTATTTATTTTCCGATCGGCGGGGGACAAGAATCAAACAATTTAAAATAGCATTTCGGCCACTGTGTATGAAATGGGTGTATTATGATGATGAGGGGCGATCAGGTGAAGACGATGGGGGTCCGAAACTGCCGGACAAAACATTTAATGCGTGCGTCCTAGTCTTTCTCACTATATTATATTTTACACACGACTTCTATATTATTATTGTTATTATCATCATTATCCATAAATAATAAATATTAAATTAATAATCTAAGTAAACGTAATTTATAGAACAATAATGGTAATAATAATTATGATATCAGTGTGTGTAGAGCTACATAATAATAATAGTACCTAATTATGTCATGGGAGATCGGTATAATGTAATATGTATCGTTTTTCACGTTAATATTATTATATAGGAGTAAATATTATTATAGTGTTCTTCGTTTTTAAGAGATTGTTGCAAGTACAATAATCCTAATATTAATATCCATTATTATTATTATTATTATTATTATTATGCGTGTAGTTACAAGTTATTATATTTATTATACGTATGACCATATTATTATTATATTAATGTTCGGTAAAACCAAATTAGTCTTAAGGAACTAGATCAATTGAAATACATTTTTATATAATATTATTATCCTTATTTATAAAATGTAATTAAATTTTTTTGTACAAACGCGTTGGCCCCGACCGGCGGTCGCCACAAAATGCACATAAAACTTGTACAATATATTTTTAGATTACATTATAACATAATAATATTGTACAATGTACATGTGTGTCTACTTTTGTAAATACTCCGTAATTTATACTTATATTATATATTATTATACTAATAAATTGTTCGTACACTATTATTATATACATTATACATATTATATACAATATACATGTATAAAATAATGTATGTAATGTATATTATATATTATTACTACGCGCTTGTTATATTTTGTTTGTTTGTTATATATTATATTATATTTTGTTCTTACTTAATTTTTCGTTAACCCAATACCAAAAAAACAAAAAACACAAAAACATTTTTTTTAGATTTTTTGCACTTTGTTCGTATTCATATTTGTTTACATTATTATATTATTATATCGATTAACTACAACTACTATACTATATAAATCATAAACTATAATAATATATTTGTACATATTATAATATTGCAGAATATAATATTATATATTATACACACGCATTATAAGACAAATTTTTGTTCTATCCCAATCAATTTCCATTGTCATGTCGTCGGATAACTGAAAACAGTAAATAAATAATTAATTATATTTTATTTGTTCGTACTTGTTGTATATTATTATAAAGCAGGACAAATCTGAGGTCGAATACCCTGTAAGTGTGTTTTGTGCCCAATATAACTTCATATCCTATAGCTATGTAACTGTTTTATGTGCACTTTTATTGTATACCTGAAAATCTCAAAGTCTGTGCTGTTTTAAATATTAATTATTAATATCGTAATACTCTACAAATGTGCTGACGAGCAATCAAATATTTTAAATATTTTAAGTCTAAGGTAGTTTCTGTGGAATCTGCGGAACGAGGCAAAAATTTATATCATTGCAACTACCAGTGCGTATGTTCCAAAAACGAAATTATCGAGTTGCAGTATGGTGGGTATTATATTAAATAATCGTTCGCATATCACAAAATATATAATGACGTCTTCATGAGTCTCTGCGGTCCATCCGACTGGAAGTACACCAAAACATTCCACTGTGTAGAATAGCAATAACCGTGATGTCATTTTAATAGCATACAATAGTCACACGCCAGCTATTCCTCGTTGATTTTAAGAGATGAATCTTTTAGCAAATATCCGCTTCGTATAATACACTGTCCGTCGAACAAGTTGTATCTACTATATTATTTAATAACGTATACGACAATAGTGGCATAATAATAATAATAATAGTTATATAGTAACGTAAATAATCGAAGCCAATAAACTGCGTTGACATTTCTGTTAGGCAATTATATGAATATACATAATATATTTTACGAAAAACATGCGATACGACATATTATTATCTCTCGATAGTAATAATATTCCTAAAAAAAATAATATTCTCCTCTTAAAATTTGGCAACGGACGTTTAATTTTCTATACACACGAGCTAGTGTATTAGAATAACCTAAACGCCACAAGTCACGATTTCGCGATTTTGCGTAGACGTGGTAGTATTTTTCCATACTCGTATTATACTAAATAAATACAACTGTCGTGGTTAGATGTATAAATACAAACGGAGAAGGTAAGCGATATTACACGGATATCGTATGTTTTCTAAATATTATAGCATCGCAAGACGTATTTTTTAGCTGTACACGACCGCACAAACATCTATTATTGAGCTGTACTCTCCGCGGTAGGTATATTATAACAATCATACAATATGATATCTCATATCTATTGAAGCTTATATACAGTGTGATTCTCTATAAGCATGCTCACCCTATAATTATACTCTTGAATTACTCAAAATAATGTATTAAAATTCTGATTTGCACACTTGAAGACCGTACTATTTTCGAATAGATACATGAGATTTTTTGTACCGCTTGAGGATATAACTCTGTGTCAGAACAAACCACTGTTTTTTTTTTCAAGTAAGAAACTGCTCTTTTAAGTTTTATAATTGTTCAGTAGATATTTTTTTAAAAATTTTTTAAATTTAAAAACATGAAAATTATCAACAAAAAAAAGTCCCGCTAAATAATTTGCGATAAAAATGGGGTTCTCATTTGAAAAATAAAAGTTTGTTTCTCCATACAGGGCACTCTTCAAGTTGTATAACAAATGGCAGACATTCGAAAATATGGTCTTAAAAGTTTTAAAAATCAAAATTTGAATAAAATATGTACTATTAATTAATAGGTAAATAGGAAATTGGGGATGAGCGTGATGAAAATATCATCCTGTATGCAAGAACATCACTTAAGTCTTGCACAGTCGTAAGTCACGAACGTCCATCGATGACACGCGTACGATATGACCATAGAATAAAATTATGTAGGTAGGTACTCATTTATAAATGTGTATAATATTACTCACATATAATTATTATCGTATTATTTTATTATTATATCGCATGCATTCCTTTGTATGAGGTATTTAGAAAGCTCGTCGCAGTCGCGTTACTATGCAGATGATGATGACATATTATATATTATTCAATTATAGGAATGTTATATTATATTATGTTGTTATTGATAATTAATATTATAATAATTATTGTTATTATCGTTCAATCGACATGTGCGAACGCTATTGTGTTTCAACACGCATATTGCAGACGACCTCCGAGAGTGGCTTTACGTTGGCTTGACGATAACAATGTATTATATTATACAAAATACGAGTATGATGTTATGATAAATATGTGTGTCGAATGATTATATTATTGTCCTCACTTAGTAGGTATATGGACGATGGCCGGGCGCACCACATTTTAACATATTATTATAATTTAACGCCTATTTCGGTTGATATTGGTACCTACATCATTTTCAATATAATATTTTAATTTCTAATAATGAAAAAATATTAAAATGTGTATGCCCAATATTATGTTGACTGGAAATCCATCGACTGGGATTTTAGGTGGACCGAGGTTTTAATGTCATTCAATTCATACCATCGTGGCTTCGAGTTCATAGTCTAGTCCACGAAATTAGTAGGTACTACCTATATATTATTATTACGTATTAACTCTTGTTACTTCTTTAATACGCTGTTCACTTCTATTTTTCAACCTTACGGACAGATAAATTGTTCGACTAGAAGCTGACTATAGTCGGCTTGCGACCAAGCAAGAAAATAATATATTAATAAACAACACCGTAACCTATACATATACTCGTTATCCGACTATGGCCTTAATTTACGACCTATACGGACATAATAATTTTATTGCACGTGGTGCTATATATATATCTAACTCAAAAGAGCCGCAACGGTCAAACATCACGTTCACTGTGCACGCTGTATAACGTGTGGCATTATAGCGACTGACCCCGTACGAAGATTTAAAGACCCTGAAAATGACATCAGTACAATTGGATTTATTCATCTACATAATGCAGGTGAGCATATACGATTGAAAATAATTGAGATAGTTTTTCCACCTTTTTTTGTGTGTCGTCTCAGGAACGTAGTCATTACATCGCTGGTCCTAATAGAATAATATATAATATCGTCTGCAGCAGAATAGAATAATCGATTATAATATTATATTGTTGCGTTGCTCTATCTTTATTATTATTGTATACAATATAACGATCTACGTACCAAATAATGTGATAGCCAGGGGCGTATTTAAGGGTGGGGCCCGAGATGCCGCCCGCCCTCCCATCAACAATATGTCGTGATTAAAAAATCAGTTGAAAATGTGAAATTTAATATCGTATTGTGTAAATAAATATTACTTTCAAATATACGTCAAACCTATTTATTTTTTTCCTTACACTGTAAGACTCTAAAAACTGTTTATAATAATTAACTATTATATCAATATTTCCCCGTGCCATGTCTCCTATTAGGTATGAAGTGTCCTTTGACTACAGCCACTTCAGAACGATATTTTTCATCACTGACCAATAACAATAATTATTGAGATCGGTGTGAGAGAAATCGAGTGTATGGTATGTATTCTATGTTATAAGTGCTATGGTGTTGTATGACACGTCTAGAAACTAAATATAATATTAAAACCGATAGAGCAAAAAAGTTAAGACACATTTGGAGTATAATATTAAACAATAATATATATCATCTAATATACCATTAGCCTTTTGCCCTTTTTAAATTATTATAATTTACATATTATTAGCGAAAATGTCTACATAACGTATAGACGTATAGGTATGCCAATGAAAATTTATATCCGATAAATGTTTATATTTAAATAAATTAGTAAATAAATGTGTAGGCAACAGACTATGCAGTAGGTAGAGATCCGTCACTCTTCACAAGATTGTCCAAACAATAAAAAAAAATACTCAATCTT